TCGACAGAAGCTTTTCTTGTATGAAAGTGCTTCAGTTAATATGGCAGTTAGTTCTAGTGATAAAGATGAGTTGAAGTCAACTAGTAGTTTTGAACCTCAGTCACAGCCGAATTCACAAAGATTGCAACAAAGTGACAATTCTCGAGGAAGAGGTCGTCGTCGTTTCAATGGTTCTAATCGACCTCAATGTCAACTGTGTGGAAAGGTTGGCCACACAGTACAGAAGTGTTATCATAGATTTGATCGAGATTATTCTGGAATGCCTGATTCTACTGCATCGACCACTGAAGGATGGAGACAGTCGCGTGCTTTCTCGGGTGATAAACAACAATCTGCTGTTAGCATGCAAGCTTATAATCACTTGGTGAATCCCGGTTTTACCCAGACTCCTATGTTCCTCTGTCATCCAGGTGTTAACTCAGTCTCTCCTGGCATGCAATCGTTTGGTTCAGAGCCATACTATCAAAATGGTTACTTATTCACTCCTCAGGTTGCGTGTCCAGTGTCAGTGCCCTATATGAATGTAGCCTCGAGTGATTCATTGTTTGGCTCTACTATTGGAAAGAACCCCTTTGGTTCCTCGGTCTCATCTTCACCAGCTGCCTTTGTTTCCACAGTACCTTCAGTTAGTGCCTCGACCAACCCAACTGGTGTTGTCTGGTACCCAAATACAGGAGCTACATATCACATTACCAATGATTTGTCTGTCTTCAACTCTGGTACGGTTTATACAGGTAATAACACTCTACTCATGGGTAATGGCGAAGGTGTTAAGATCGCACATGTAGGACAGTCTTGTCTGGCCAGTAACTCGAAGTCTTTGTTGCTACAAAATATGCTTCATGTGCCAAACATAAAGAAGAATCTTCTATCTGTGTCTCAATTCACTAGTGACAATAAGGTTTTTATCGAGTTTTACCCTTTTGACTGCTTTGTGAAGGACAAACAGACTCAGGAGATTTTGTTGAAAGGGAGACTCACGCATGATGGGTTGTATCAGTTGCTGCCATGCACTGTGAAGGACTCGAGCTGGTAGTTGAACAATGTGTCTAAAGCATCGAATTCAATAAACTTGTGGCACAAACGACTCGGCCACTCCTCGATGGCTTCTGTTCGAGCAGTAATGAAGACTTATAATATCAGCTTTAGTGAAAATAAGCTATCTCATTTATGTACAGCATGTTTACAAAGCAAGGCTCATAAATTGCCGTTTTGTAATTCCGTTACTGAATACAAGGAACCTTTTCAGTTAATTGTTTCAGATGTTTGGGGTCCAGCACCTGTTGTTTCTACTGATGGTTATTTGTATTATTTATCGTTCATAGACGTGCACAGTAGGCACACTTGGGTCTATCTACTAAAAAGGAAATCTGAAGTTATGCAATGCTTTTTAAATTTCTACAAGATGGTAGAGGTCCAGTTTGGTTTCAAAATCAAAGCTGTTCAGACTGATAGAGGAGGAGAGTATCAAGCTCTCAAAGGCTGGTTCCTTGCTAATGGTGTACAACAACGGGTTTCCTGCCCAAGTACGTCTGAACAAAATGGGAAAGCCGAAAGGAAACACATGCATATCGTTGAAATGGGATTAACACTGCTAGCTGAGGCTGAACTTCCCTTAAATTTCTGGAGTCATGCGTTTGTTTCGGCTGTTTATTTAATAAATCGCTTACCAACTGAAGTCTTAGGTGGCAAGTCTCCTTTTGAAATTCTCTATAAGCAGACTCCTGATTATTCCATGCTCAGGATTTTTGGGTGTGCTTGCTTTCCCTTTCTAAGGCCGTTCAACCAGCATAAGTTGGACTTCAGGTCCAAGCGGTGCACGTTTCTTGGTTATAGTCCTCTACATAAAGGATACAAATGTTTAGATGATAATGGGAGAGTCTTAATTTCCAGACATGTTGTGTTTGATGAAGGAGTCTTCCCTTATGCTGATAAGAAAGGAAGAGGTCGGTCAGATTCTGACACTATTACCTCGACTGTTACCTCGACTAATTTTCTACTTGTAGTTCAGTCTTCTGAAGAGTTACACAGTGTTCAACCTAGAAGGTGTGTGGAGGTTGTGCCTGATCCAGTGCATAGCCATAATCGTGACTCTGACTTGCGCCTGCCTGGCACGTCGCATCCAACCGACACTGAGGAGTATGTGTGTGCAGGTAATGATTCAGTAGTGCCTGCTATGGCTTGTGCTGAAGAGATGACTAATGGTGTACATGAGTTGTGTGTTCCAACCACTTTGAACGATGATAATGATGCGGTTATAAATGAGTCAATTCCTAGTGCTGTCACATGTGCATAATCTCAGGCTGAGGTTGAACAGTCCAATGCTCACCCCATGGTGACTCGAAGCAAAAGTGGGATTAGGAAGCCCAAAGTATTTCAGGTGGCTTGCTTAGATAGAGAACCGAGGACTATTCGAGAAGCCATGAGGAGTCCTGAGTGGAGAGCTGCTGCTCAAACGGAATTTGATGCACTGGTGAAGAACAACACCTGGACGCTTGTTCCTCTCCTGAGTGGAAAGAAAGTAGTGAACTGTAAGTGGATCTTTAAAGTCAAACGAAATGTTGACGGATCCATAGCGAGGTACAAAGCTCGACTTGTAGCTAAGGGTTTTTTGCAACAACCAGGTATCGATTATCATGAAGTCTTCAGTCCTGTGGTCAAGCCAGTAATAGTTCGGGTTGTGATTTCACTTGCACTGGCTAAGGGGTGGCAGTTAAGGCAAATCGATATAAACAACGCCTTCCTCAATAGAGTTCTAACTGAGGAGGTATATATTGCACAACCACCTGGCTATGAAAAAGGTGATGGAAGCTTGGTTTGCAAGCTTAACAAAGCCATTTATGGGCTAAAGCAGGCGCCTCGAGCGTGGTTTGAGAGGTTAAAGCAGTTTTTAGTGACTCAGAATTTTGTGTTAGCAAAATCTGATGCTTCACTGTTTGTTAGGGAAACTACTAACAGCGTCATGTATCTACTAGTGTATGTAGATGATATCATCATCACGGGTAGCTGTGAGGAAGAAGTGCAAGGTATGATTGACGATCTTAACAAGCAGTTTGCGCTAAAGGATCTTGGGGTATTGAGTTTTTTTCTGGGAATTGAAGTGTGTCGAGAAGCTGATGAGATTATCTTGAGTCAGCAGAAGTATATACGTGATTTGTTGTTTAAAAGTGTGCTGGAAGATGCTAAGGGTCTTCCTACTCCAATGGTCACTAATTGCAAGCTGGCGGTTGACACTGGAATACCAATTGAAGATGCAACTCATTATAGAAGTATTGTCGGTGCTTTGCAGTACATCGTTATCACGCGACCAGACATTGCCTTTGCTGTGAATAAGGTCTGTCAGTTCATGCAAGCATCGTGTGATGATCATCTTCAGGCAGTGAAACGGATACTGAGGTATCTGCAAGCTACTGCTGATTTTGGTCTTCGTTTTTCAGCTCCATCACGATTGTCTTTAACAGGCTTTGCCGATGCGAACTGGGGGTCAGATGCAGATAGACGATCGACCTCGGGTTATTGTATCTATTTTGGTGACAATTTGGTTTCCTGGAGCTCTCGTAAACAGCAGGTAGTCGCTCGGTCTACGGCAGAGGCTGAGTATCGCAGTGTTGCCGATGCTGCTGCGGAGATTGTATGGCTTGAATCGTTACTGGGTGAGCTGCGGGTGTCGGTTCATGGGAAACCTGTCTTGTGGTGTGATAATTCCAGTGCCGTAGCTGTCTGTGCAAATCCAATCTTGCATTCCAAGTTCAAACATGTTGAACTTGACCTGTTTTTTGTTAGGGAAATGGTAGCTGCTGGCAAGCTATCTGTTCAGGAGGTACCTGCTTTTGAATAGGTTGCTGATGTTCTAACCAAGCCGTTGTCTGCTCCAACGTTCCTTAAACATAGGCAACGATTGCTTATCTCACAAATTCAAGGCAAATTTGTGGCCTCAACGGTTGAGGAGTGTAATGAGTGAGTTTTTGGTGTTCTTAGTGATGTGAGAGTTTGTTGTAGGGGGAATGTTGGTGCATGCTCTTGCGCGTATTGTTTTGTCCAGTTGGAAAGTAGGGGGAATGTTGGTGTATGAATTGGAACTGAGTTGGTTTTAACCAATCTGTCATGTGTTAGTTAGGCTGTTGAGTGTTAGTTAAAGATGGTTATGAGCAGTTAAGCTTCTTGGGTTGTTCTAGTCAATTGTATAAATACATCTCTTCATGATTGAGAGAAATATGTGATGAAGAAAATGAAGTTTTCCTTTCTAGGTGTTCTCCCTTGATCTTGTTTCTTTTACGTTGTTTATCGTTCTTCAGAACGACACTATAACAGAGGTACCATTCTAATGAAATGCCTCTTCTTCACAATTCCTATTGAATCTTACATTATGTCGTTCATACAATCTGACGTTTACCATTCTTTGATTAAAATTTGCACATTTGTAATACTTGGTACTTTGCTGGGGAGTTCGTTGTTCCTCATTTTTATTCTTCCACACATTTACTAAATCTCAATACAATTGTTCATTTTGATTTTTTTAATTCCTTCTCATATACTTTCAGGTGAAGATTATTAAGTGTCTTGTAGAAAATATTGTGGTAGACATTTCATTTAATCAGCTTGGCCTTTGTTTCCTTGAAGAGGTTAGTACTGCAAAGTCCGACTCTAAAACTTGACAGATTTTTCTTTGGAATGATAAACTCTGCTTATGAAGTGTGTAAAGTTTAATCTAACTTATGTCCATCTTCATAGATTGATATTTTGATAAATCAGAACCATTTGTTCAAGCGCAGCATCATACTGATAAAAGCTTGATGCTATTGTGAGAACCGTATTTTGGGTGCTCATCATGGACTCATCTCAACGTATGCCCTGGAAATCTTGGTCCTCTACATATTCCATGTTTTCAATAACACCTTTTCTGGACCACTTGAGGTAGCTATGCTTACCTTTCTGCTTTAAATGTCTTTTTTTTCTTTCTCCTGTACATCTGTATGATTTTGTTTTCTTTACATGTATAGGTCCTGTATCGTTTTCTGGAGTTCTTTAGCAAGTTTGATTGGGAAAAATTTTGCGTTAGCCTCTGGGGTCCTGTTCCAATTAGCTCACTGCCAGATATAACAGGTATTACAATTTCTGGGACATCCAATGCCGAGCTTTGAACAAGAAACATCTATTTGCAAAAAAAAAATTGCTAGTTCTCGTCTTAATTACTTGTTTCAAAATACTTTTTGCAGCAGAACCTCCTCGAAAAGATGGTGGAGAGTTGTTACTTAGCAAATATTTTCTCAATACTTGTAGTTCGAGATATGCTGCTTGCCAAGGAAATCAGGGCCAACCCTTTGTTTCTAAACATTTCAATGTGATCGATCCTTTGCGTATCAATAACAACCTTGGACGTAGTGTTAGTAAAGGTAATTACATCTATATTTAGTGATTATTCCTCGTACAATTTTGTGGTTTCTCTCTATTCTATGACATGTTTCTCCCTTTTTTGGCAACCTATGCTTCAAGTACTATGCTGCTTGCTTTTGTTGGTCATAAGTTCCTATCCTTGGCTAACTATCTGATATATTAGAAATGTCCTTTTTCCTCATCTTATTCCTCTATGGACCTATGGAAAGTCCTTGATGATAGATTGTAATGAAGTAAATCAATCCTTCATGAATACATGGGAAAGGAATGGCAGTGGCCATCGCCCTGACGCACCAAGGCATAATCTGTGGTGCTTGAGATTGTTAAAGTCAGACCAAACTCATGGATCTAAGAATGTCAACAGTTCAATCAGCAAAGAAAACGATATTTCATCAGGGCTTGATACTCAAGCTGAAGGAGCTCAATGCCCATGTGGTGTTTCCTTACAGCAAGTTAATCATGCATCTGAAAACACAACTAAGATTAGTGATATATCAGCTGTTTCTTGCACTCAGAGCCAAAAGAGTTATGGTAGCATTAGCAACTCAAAGACCTCTGATCAGTGTAGACATGTTTCTTATTACGATCAAAACGTGCATGGTGGTACAGGTCAGAATATTTCTAAAGCAGACACCGTGGTGAATGATGTTCAAGGAAGATATATTTTTGCAAGGACAAGATCTAGTCCTGAGCTTACTGAAACATATGGGGAATATACTTTTCAAGGAAGACAGAACAGAGTGCCCGAAAGTGGGAAAACCCAGATTGCTTCCAGGAAGAACATGGATTCTGATATGGTGGAAAGAAATAAAGATAAAAGTTCAAGTGATGATTCTTTATCTGTTAGGTGCTCTTCCGCCCACCAAAGCATTGATGCTGTTTCCGTTCCAAAAAGTCTTCTAACTAGTTGTCAGGAGGATTCGGGCTTGGGAACCATGGGTCAGGACTTTTCTTCAATTCCAGGTGCACAAGGAATGCATCAAGAAGAGCAAGATCTAGTGAACATGATAGCATCATCTGAAGCTTATGGTTTTAATGGTCAGATTCTTTTTCCATTAAATTTAGTTGCAGGTCACTTACGTTTCCATATCCAGTCTCATCAATGGGATACAATCAGAGAAATTTGGGTGGATTTATTCCTAAAGAAATTCAAATGTTTCCCCAAGGATTGGTCCCGTCTCCTTTGGCCCATTTTTTTCTGGCATTGGATTAGCCTCAAATGCTGATCTAGTTGAGCCTGGCAGTGAAAATTTTGGTTTTTCGGAAATGTACCTAAGGGAAGCAGAACATGAGTTATGGCATGAACATGATAGGGGATCTAGTGGTGGTTTTGATCTTGACAATGGAAGTTTTGAAATGCTTCAGTCAGATGATAAGCAACAGTCTACTTCAGCTAGAAATAGTTTTGTTTCTTCATCTAGGGTAGGCAGCTCTGATAATTCTACTAAATTACAACACAAGTTCTCTGAAGAAATTCAAGGATCAACTTGGGGAGATCATATAGATGTTTACCAATATCAATATAACAGAGGCATTGACGTTAATTTCAATGAAAGAATTTCAAGTTCTAGACCCTTAGTTGCTTCACATACTAGTTCTTACAGAAGTACAACCTCATCAGAAAATTCTTGGGAAGGGCCATCAGCTAAGGTCTCTAAGCCATCTAGGGAGAAACGGGGTAGGAAAACAGCTGCGTCTGTGCTTCCTTCTGCTGCAGGTAGGAACGGTAAGATCGTATCTGAACATTCCTCTCTGGCAGATGATGGCAGAGACTGGAATCCACAGTCATTAGTGAGCACTGAAATGGCTGAAAGAACTATTGCACCTCAACCGGCTGGTTCTTTACCCGTTACAAGGCATCAAATGCCTGGATCTGAGGCAGCTCAGACAGATTGCTCAGATCCATTGATACATGTGGCTGCATTGCTCTTAGGTTCAGATTCAGGGGAAAGAACTATGGATAAATCTGGACTTTCTCCCTTGTTCTTCACAATAACCGGACCACCAGTTCCATTTTTGTTTTGCCCTATGTACAACATTTCAGCAGAAAGAGGAACTCCAGATGCATCCACAAGCCATTTTAGTTGTGATGAAGGTTCGGACGACAATGATTCTGGTCAAAATTCCGAGTCATCTGAAAGACTTGATCAGTCTGAGGTGTTAAGCACTTCTAATTCTTTGAGAATGGTTACATCTCTCAAGCCAGCAGAGCATAAATCTGGTATTCTTAATGGTGATACTGCTAACCATTGGCAAAACTTGCAGTACGGACAGTCATGCCAAAATTCACGATTTCCTCCCCCTCTAGCTTATCCTTCACCTGTTGTGGTGCCACCCGTTTATTCACAGGGTCATTTTCCATTAGATGAACCTGGGAGACCTCTTCCATCTAATTTGAGTCTCTTTTCTCCACCAAGGAATTATGGAACTTATACTTTTCCTGTTGCTCCTACTCAAACTGTCTCAAGCAGACCTGCTAGTGTATACCAACAGTATGCTGATGAAATGCAAAAGAGACCGCAGTGGTACCGGGACATACCTGCCAAATCCTGTAAGTCATGACAATCTGTAATGAGTTTTATTACCTTAAATTGATACCCTTGATAATTGCATTCCTTGGAGAACGTTGGTCACATGACCATCATTTGAGGTGCAATCTTCATAATATGCTAACTACTTTACTCTGGTTTATCAGATATTTGAAAAGATCTTAATGTCTCTTATCTCCCGTTTCTGTAACTTTTTAACCTTGAGAATTACAACCTTCAATAATTTTTATACAGTCTTTTCTATTTCAGAAAGCTTCAATGAGAGAACGTCATTCTGCAAATTCAAGGAGGGGAAAACATAATTACGATCAAAATGGCCATCATGGTGATAGAGAAGGAAACTGGAATACCCATTCAAAGTCGCGAGCTGCTGGGGGCAGCCATAGTCGCAATCAGAATGGAAAATCAATGTTCACGTTTGACCAATTTGGAGCTGTTGCTGGTGAAAGTAAAGCTGAGAGGCCTTGTTGCTCACATAGGCACGATTCATTTACGTCATACCAGTCTCATAATGGATCAACCCGCTCAAACTCTTCCCTGAGTAGTTGTGCTAGCATGCCATACGGTGTGTGCCCACTGCCAGCCATGAACACCAGTTGGGTGTCATATAGTGGACCTTACATTCCATCTGCTGTCATGCTGTATCCTTATGATCATAATTCTGGCCATGCTTCCCTTGCTGAACTGCTCGAAATTGGATCACTTGGACCTCGGTGGGTTTATCAGGCAAGAATGAAGTTTCTCCATCGCAGCCAAGTGATGTGAGCAAGCTCAGGCGGGATAATACTTAATGAGCCAATATTTCATGGTACCTATGGTCAACGGTCTTCACTGGAACCAGTCTCCTTCACCGCCACTCTGAAGGTAAATTGTCTTCTTGTTTGTCTGAGGTAGTTTGTTATTGAAAGCTGCCTGCCTGAAAAGTACGCTGCATCTAGGGTGTTGTTGTACCGTCTTTCCGATCTTGCTATAGAATTTTGATGTAGTAATTTTTATGGCCAACTTGAATAGAATTTAAATCGATTCGTTTTGACCAGATTGTTTTATGATGCTATCATTTATTTTTCATGGCTGGTGGATTTAATTTTACTGCCAGATCAGTGGCCCATAATAATTACAATCGAAGATGAGGATTCCCAACCCCCTTTACAGTAGTGGTTTTCTCCAAAGATGGATCAACCGTGCTTCTTGGCTTTATGCATCTATGTATACTATGAACTGATGGGAATTTAAGAAAAATTCATTTTCTGGAATTGCCCTGTTTTTTTGAAGATGTAACAGATACAAGATGACGAAAGAATGCAGGATTCGGAAGTTAGTTTTTTGTTCATTGGAGATTCGATAAGAGTTAGGGTTTTACACATTGTAACTCAAATAGGAGCTCCTTAGGATTACAACCGAGTTTATATCATTTTGTAACTCAAATTGTTTAGGATTTTCCTTCAAAATAGGGGTTTCCATTGGTGTTGCATGCCATTGGCCATGTTGTGGTGTTGACTACCATTTCAAGATCTCTCTTTAGTTAAATTGAAGATCCTGCAGGATGAAAGATGGTAATGATTACTTAAATACATGTTGATATGCAAAAAGAATATTTAAATATTCAAGGGTGAGGTCTGATAATTGAGATGCCTGAATTACTGGTTCAGCTTCGGCAGTCTATCGGGCACGCAGACCAGGGATATTCCTGAGCCCCATCTTCGAAAGTACGAGCTTTGGAATCGCAGAAGGGTTGTCAAGACCCATGCTTCTCCTAAACTCGTTTGCAAGCTCCACAAGTCTGTACTTATCCTTGCCTACTTTCTTATCAGAATTGTAATAACCAAGCCATGCCTGATAAGCTGATTCTTTGGCCTTCATCTCTACATGAGAAAGTGCCCTTACCACCTGTTCAACCATAGTTTAAAAAATTCAGAGTAATCACTCACCAATTTGTAGAAACTAATGGAACATCAAGAGTTCCTCGTTGTAGTTAAACGACAAGGAATAAAATGCCTGAAGAGGTACATTCAACTAAGCTTACCTTTTTTGTTGTTTCAGGATCTAAAGATGGCAAAGGAGCCTTTGTTATAGGCAAATCCTTGATGCTAGATAGAAAATGTTCCTCCCATGGTGCTAGTAAGAGTATTCCCTGTCCTTCTTTACCCTTACGCCCAGTTCTACCTAGCCGATGTATATACTGTTGTCTATCAGATGGGATGCCCACCTATGATGGTAAAAGAAAAAGAAAAATGCAAAATGTGACCATCAACGGTAAAGAAAACTTCGCAAAGTAAACAGAGTGTACATATACGTATAAGAAAAGTTTGAGATGAAGAAAGAATTTATTCTTCCTCTGAAAATTGAATAGGATATAAAGAATTTATTCTTCCTCTGAAAATTGAACAGGATATAGAAAGTCCACCGGAATTTAAAAGAAAAATGCACTTGTGTACAGAGTAGGGGTTCTG